TGATAACAACTTTACCAGTTACGTCGAATAATAAATAATAAATATACCTGAGCAGCTTTGTAGGCAAGCATAGTATCCTCAGCAGCTTCCTTGCGTTCATTTCCAACTTTGAATTCAGCTAAATAACGATAATAATCCCCTTTCATCTTCAAATAAAACACCTTGGATTCACCAGCAGAAGCTGAAGGAATCAAATACTGATCCAAAATCTTCAGAATTCCAGCACAAACATCACTAAGCTCAGATTCAACTTTAGATCTGTAATCCTTCACTAGAACCACATGCTCATCGTTCTTCCTACCCTCCTCCTTCTGCTCAATTGACGATACAATCCTCCACGCTGCTCGAAGTGAACCGATAACGTTCTTATACGCCACCGAAAGAAGATTTCTCTCTTCCACCGTCAACTCCGATGAACCCGACCCGATTACGAGCTTGTCCATGAACTTCACCATCTCCTCATATCGTTCAGCTTGCTCAGCTAGCTTCGCCAAGTACAAACACTGCTCTCTGGTTAAATTTTCAGGCAAGGCCATCGTCAATCGCCGGTAATTTCCGCCGGAGAATTTCTTTTTTTTTTCCCTTTTTTCCTTTTGCTGTTTTGAAGTTTTTCCTTTTTTTTTCGCTTTTCAAAGTTTCGAAGAGAGGAATTTATAGTAGAAGGGAAGTATACAATTTCTTTGTAACGCCCACTCGCGAGTGTAAGCTCCACTTGTGCACGCGCCACGAGGGTCGACGTTTTTGGAGTGATCTCATAGTTCCTTACACGTAACGCATCTTAAATTACTATCTATATTTTCTAACCACGATAAATAGTTTTCGTACTTTCATGGCACATTAAAATTCTGTCATAAGTCCTAACTTACACTAGAAGAGATATATACCTTTAATTGACCGATTATCATAAAACACATGATAATAAGAATATATAAAAAAAAAATACATCATTTATTTTGTTGAATTAGTATTAATTAGTGATTCCGACTACACATCAGAAGAAAAGAGTGTGATGTGCACGTAAGGGAAAGCGCGTGGGGAAGAGAGGTGTTGAGGTGTGATTGGTCAATAAAATATGAGACTGAGGATTAGAGAGCTTAAAGGTGAGAAGGATGAGAGTCAGATTCCACTAGCTTTCCTTTTCTTTAATTTTGGAGTTGGAATTAAAAAATAATAATTAGAAATAAATTGTTAAAATAATTTAAAAAGTTTGTTTCTATTCTCATATATAATAAATAATAATAATAAATACAATAGTAGCTTCAAATTTGAAAGAAAAAAAGCAAAAGAATATGTGCTTATACATGGAGGAGGTTTTATTTTTTCCATATCCCTTTTCTTAATTTTATTTAATTATTCATTAAATAACTTTTGATTGATATATTTTAAGTTCGATTATTGATAAGGCTCAAAGAAAGAAAACAAGACATTGACATATAATTTATATAATAAAAAAAGTAAAATAACGTTAGCAGCTAAAATGTTAATCTTTTGAAGTAGCTTGACTTTGAGAAAGAGATTTTAATCATTGTCGAGAATAAAACATTATGTATCGCGTGATATGAATCCGTCTAGTTGAATAACTGACAGACGACAAACATATTTAGCAATGTTATTGACTCTACCTAACTTCTCATTGTTTTTTCTTGGGGGCATTGATCGTATCGAACACTTGTTTTTAAGCAATCGGAGGAGAGGGGAGAGGCACTAATGAATTATTAAGATAAAAAATAGAATTTAAAATTAAAATTATTGAATTCGACTACATTTATAGCTGATATTCTAACTATCATGTTTGTAATATGTAAATAGTTTTCTCTTTCGCATTAGCTCTTGTAGTAAATTTATTTGCTGAACTACTTTTAAAATTTTGGTTTATAATTATTGATATTATTACTGAAAGTTATTTAAAAAAACAACATGAACCATCAAATAATTCATTGGGAAAATAACTAGCTATTAAGCCTGTACTTCATTAAATATGTCGACTACAATTAGGTAATTTCGAAATTTATACTTAAATTTAACCATTAAAAAAAGAATTTTATACTTAAATAAATATGTATAACTTTTATTTTTTATGTCATCATCAAACACTAAAAAAAATATGTGAAATTTATCATTTACTCTCAATGAAAAGCGTATTCCTAACTCTAAAAACCTTTTGAATCAAAATCAATATCTTATAATTCATGATATTAGATAGTACTTGTTTTATGGTTCGATCAATAGAGGATTCGAATCAGAAAAATTACGTTTTAAAATATATAATATTTTCTATTAAAAACAATTTCGTACGTAAGAATTCGAATTCGACATCTTTGATCCTTACTTGTCAATAAGCCAAAATTAAATTATTAAAAACACCTAATAATTATTAAAATTATGAAAACTAGTAGAATCATATCACATGACTAATGAGTTGTTTCAAATTCATCATTTGTTGTTTCCTTGTTGGAATTTATGATGTTTTGCCTGTTTTTCACTATTGTCAGGTTTGTGTTGTTGTAGCATTAGACATGCATTTCCATTTTAGTTCGGAGTTTACAGATGCATGATGTTTAAAATATTTTATATACGATGTCTCTCGATTAATTTTACGAAATATTCATTATGGTTTGACTTTACATTTTTTCTTGTTATTGTTTATATCTCTACATTGTCTATTTTTCTTTTTGCACTGAAATTTATTGAACTTGAGTCGATTTTTCGAAAATAAGTTAACAACCTCTCTAATTTCGTGAGATTATAGTGTTAAGGTCTATACATTTTATCCTCTCATATCTCTCATTTGTGAGACTTTACTAAATATGTTATTATTGTTATTGGCATTGTGATTCGATTAAATTTAAATTTGCGGAACATAAACTTGATTAGAAAAAATAAAGTGTTAATTATAGCCAATTATGTTGTGAGTAGATTTGATGACAAAGAGACAAAGCTGAGTTAATACATGTTTAAGCAGTCACGTGAGTAGGCACGTGGACAGTGGCTTTTTGAATCTCAAATTTGAGACAAATAATGATAAATGGTGAAAAAATATCCCAAGTGTAAATAATGAATCCATGTTAATTTAATAGATATATTTTTTGTTTGATATTATATTTATATGTGCATTAAAAACTCTACTAATATTTAAGATCATAAAATATTTTTTGTTTTTTATTCTTCGTTAGATTACCTTGTTACCTTCATTAATAAAGTTTTGATATCGAGTCTTTCCTTTATGCCATATTTTTTATAAAGGTTATAAGCTAAATTTATCATGACGTTCGAATTTTATGATAAACAATTTGCGTAAACAGTTAAATGTGATCGTTATAAAAAATATATGTTTAACATTCTATCGTACCAAATATATATGGTCTTATTTTATTGGATATATAAGATGTTAGAAGTTATCTTGAAAAAAGAAAAAGTAATAGTTCACTACTCGACCTTTTATTCAACACATCTATCCAAAAACAAATTTAGTTTACAAATTTCACAAAGTGCTTTTATCCCTTAACAAAAATCATATAAGTTTCTACATGCAATTCGGGATCCTCATTATGTCAATGATGACTTGAGCGATCTATTAAATCTAATGAATTTCAGAATCTTTATATAATATGATCAAATGTATAAATATTCATTTTTGACATTGCTATTTAACTTATTTGTGTATTTTTTTACACGTGCAGTTACTTCGATTTAACTTTAGACAAAAAAATATAAACTTTAACCATTCAAAACTTCAAAAAAAGTATATAAAACAGAATTTATCAAAATTAATGAAACATTATATATCTTATAAAGTGATAAATATATAAAAACAACAATAAATGAATGTTGATTAATAACATAAAACAAAACAGACTACCTCATAAAATCCAATTGCATCATAAGGATTTAAAAAATAAGTTCTTTCATAAACTTATAGTAACTATTGTTACTGCACAAAAACTTTAAAAAAATACCTACTCGTTAATACGTATGAAGTCCAATAAACACGTATTACATCGAAACAAAATGATATTCACAATAACAAAAAAAAACATGAAAAATTCATACGAGAAAACATTGAGTCTCTAGTATTTCTTGACAAAGAAACAAACATCAAATAACATATTTAATATGATCTCACGAAAACAATATATTTAAGGGCAACTTTCACATATACCAAACAAAAAATTCATATTTGTATGCTATAACAAACTTTGCATAATTGCGCTCCATAGCAAACATAAAACTGTATAATTTACTATACATATACAATTGTATAATTCGCTGGCCTAAATTGTATACTTCGCTGGCCTAAATTGTATAATTTGCTGGCCTATTTCGCTGCAATTGTATAATTTGTTTTGCATACAGTTGAATCGAATTAAAATGTATGTATATTGCATCATTATAAGTGTATAGCAAGAAAATATATCTTTTTTCTCGCTTTATACAAAAACAGAAACACAATATATACACTTCTGCTGTATAAAGCTAGAGAAAATTGTATTTCACTGCAATTGTATAATTCTTTGGCCTTTTTCTCTGCAATATTTGAAGTAAAATATTTGTAAATTGTATAATTAAGTGTATAACACGAAGATATACATTTTTGCATGTGTATATACAATTTTCTCTCGCTTTATACAAAACAGAAACAGAATTATACACTTCTGTGTATAAAGCAAGAGAGGCGAGCGAGAATGGAGAGTGGCGATCGAGATTTTTGGGAGAGAGACGCTGGCAAATTTTAGCTAATGTTTGCTATGGAGCACAATTAAATCAAACCCTAGCTATTCCATTTAATTTAGGTTATTAATTTGCTATTATATACAATTTCCCCTATATTCAATATAATCATAACGATTATTTTCGATAGACTCTCGAGTCTCGAATAAAACAAAAAAGAGCCCAAGAATGAGATTGATGGTGGTCCTAAGTTTCAAAGGCCCAACCAAACTCAACTTTTCAATATAATACTACCAATAAAGATAGATATTAATAGTTTGTTTTTTTTGTATTTCACTCATTTTTCTCCATCTGCTTCACATTCCAAGATTTTGTTGAGCCCAGTAACACCACCACCACACCTAAAAGCTAAAACCCTAGCGTTTTCTCCTCCTCTTCTTCTTCATCTATATAAACCTCCATTACCCCTCTGGTTTTTTTCAGGGTTTAAATAGCTTTAGTAGCTGGAAAAAAAACAATGGAGCTTTGTGTACCTCAAACCTTCTCGAATCTTCCAAATTATAGGATTAGTAATCGAGCTCAACTCCAATGGAGACCCTCTTTACTACTCAAAAAACCCTCAAAATCTCGATTCAATTCAGGTTGGTATTTCGAATTTGTGTGATTTTTGTAGCTTTTGTGTGTAAAGATCTCTTCTTTTTTCTTCTATGTGTTCAGCATTTTGTTTTTTATTTGAAGAATTTATCTAAATAGCCGTCTACCCATTTGATTTATTAAACAAAAAATAGTCGAACAGATGTATAATTTACGTATGATTGTGTATATTCTATGTATATTTTATGTATATCAGCTAGAAAATGTAGTAAAATCTTTTTCTTGGATTTTTGTACTCATTTCCTTAATTTCTAGGAGTGCCTTGTTCGTTTTTTGTTTTTATTAAGTTGTGTTGATGTTAAATAATTTTTTGCTTTTTGGTGTTCTAATGACTGTTTAATTTACTGTTACATAGTTTATATATGCTTGTATATGATTTTTTTTTCATTTCTAAAATAGTTTTGTAAGCTCTAATTTACTTTAACATAGTTATACCTTATAACACTGAACTATAAAATGCAAAGAAAAATACCCGGCTACATAGTTACTATTTTCGAGATTTTTTTTTGGTAAGTACTATGTTTAATGTGCTCATAAATGTTTTCGAAGTAGGGTTTTTGTTTTCTGGGTTAATGACAAGATTCAATATTTAGATTAACTGTGGAAAAATGTATAAAAATATGGCTTTTTGTTAAGAGTTGCTTAGTCGTTATGTAGAGGCTGCTAAGTTTTGGTAATTTGTCTGAGAGCTTCAATAGTGACTTGAGGAAAGAAAGTTTAGTTTTTGGCATTGGTTTTGTTGAGTTGTTCGAGACTTTGATTGGATAGTGGTGGTGGAAGAGTGATTCTTTGCCGTCTTATGGTTTTCTGTTTATATACTTCAGGATCATTTTACCGTAAAGGCTCAGCTGTTAGAACAAAAGCAGAGACAGAGGCTTATGAGTTATATGTACCTCCTACAGTTGAGGAGAAAGACGATGAATCTGTTAGATCAAAAGCAGAGACAGAGGCTTATGAGTTATATGTACCTCCTCCTACGGTTGAAGAGAAAGATGATGGAGCTGTTAGATCAAAATCAGAGGAAGAGGCTTATGAGTTATATGTACCAGCTACAGTTGAAGAGAAAGACGACGGAGCTGTTAGATCAAAATCAGAGGAAGAGGCTTACGAGTTATATGTACCTACTACAGTTGAAGAGAAAGACGACGGAGCGGTTAAGAATGGAGCACCAGTAGAAGATTCTATGACTGACAAAGACACGGATGCTTATGCATCTTTGATATCCGAGCCTCCTAAAGTCGAAGAGAAAGATGATGGAGCTGTTCAGAATGGAGCACCAATTGAAGACTCTAGTAAAGACAAAGAGACAGATGCTTATGCGTCTTTGATATACGAACCTCCTAAAGTTGAAGAGAAAGATGATGGAGCTGTTCAGAATGAAGCACCAATTGAAGATTCTAGCAAAGACAAAGAGACAGATGCTTATGCATCTTTGATATATGAACCTCCTAAAGTTGAAGAAAAAGATGATGGAGCTATTCAAAATGGAGCACCAATAGAAGATTCTAGTAAAGACAAAGAGACGGATTCTTCTGCAGATTTCATATATGAACCTCCTAAAGTTGAAGAGAAAGATGATGGAGCTGTTCAGGCTGAAGCACCGATAGAAGATTCTGGGAATGATAAAGAGACGGATGCTTATGCAGCTTTGATATATGAATCTCCTAAAGTTGAAGAGAAAGATGATGGAGTTATTCAGGATGAAGCACCAATCGAAGATACTAGAGAAGACAAAGAAACAGATTCTTATGCATCTTTGACATATGAACCTCCTACAGTTGAAGAGAAAGACGATGCAACTATTCAGAATGAAGCACCAATTGACTATTCTAGTAAAGACAAAGAGACAGATGCTTATGTGTCCTTGACATATGAACCTCCCAAAGAAGATTCTGCTGTTCAAGTTGAAGCACCAATAGAAGATTCTGCTGTTCAAGCTGAAGCACCAATAGAAGATTCTGCTTTGGAGTTCGAATCGCAATTGTCCAAGTTCTTTGACACGCTAAATATTAAGGTATGTTCCATCTTCTTGTAGTTTGTCGTCTCAGTAAGACTTGCTGAACTAACAATTTGCTGTGAATATTGGCTGTTTGACTAGCCATTCTGGTGTACCAAGTAGTATACATTTAATGGCCTGTCTGTACAGCAAACACCATATCATAACACCCAAAGAATAGGAACAAGGAGACTAAGATTGCAATATCTGGAGAGGGAAAGTGATTCATATGGAGAAGTGTTTCCCGAAAAAAAAATCCATTCAGAGAAAAAATAAACACAGGTATACATTATTGGGACATTGTTTCCAACAAATCAAAGTATTAAGGAGGTTAGTTAAGACATTTTTTAATTCCTTGAATTACACATAGAGTCATTGTCAAGACAGCTAGGTCACAAATACAGGGATTAAGTTCATATTATAAAAGTATAGGCTCAGCAGTTTGTGAAGATCTCTTATATACAATATTGACTACTTTGCCTCCATCCAAAGCAAGTCGATGTCACCTTTTCTTACATATGCTAGAAAAGTACTTGATTTGTCTCTCTTTATTGCTGGTGGTTCTTTTTTATTGTCAAAAGTCTGACTGCTGTGATGAGACTCAGAATTTGTTGAAAGTTTGACACCTTGATGAAACCGTCAACAGTAATGTTGACCCTGAGCGGTTACCTGAGCAGTCTCTTCATGCTTCTTCTAGTTTTCATATTTTGAAAGGCTTGTGAAATTAATGTTTAACTGCAATGAACCTTTCAACAAATAATTTGGTGATTTTTCAAATATTGAAATAGCTGGAAAGGAGACATAGGATACAAATAACTGACACAGCTGTCTGGAATGAGGTGTTGTTGATTCGTTGATTAATTTTCTTCTCAACTACTTGATATCAAATCCATCTAATTTCATTCCAGCACAATCAGTACTTTGGAAATTCTTATTCCTTAATCTCTTGCATATACTAGAAAAACACACATAATTTTTCTCTTTTGTTATTGGTGTTTTTACAACATCATACCCAGTGAAATCCCATTGTTGGTGTTTTTAAGATGTAGAAAAAGTCTTCTGCTGTGATGATACCCAGAACTTGTTGAAAGTTTGACACCTTGATGAAACTGTCAACAGTAATGTTGACACTGAGCGGTTACCTGAGCAGTCATATCTTCATGCTTCTTCTAGTTGTCATATTTTGAAATACTTGTGAAATGGATGTTTAACTGCACTGCACCTTTCAACCAATAGTAGTCTAAATTTTGGTGATGCTTTAAATATTGAATAGTCAGAAAGGAGACATAAGGTACAAATAATTGGCACAACCTTCTGGAATGAGGTGTCGATTGATTTTATCTCAATTCTCACCTGCTTGATTTTAAAGCCATCTAAGTTCATTCAGCACGATCAGTGTTTTGTGAATTTTATCCTCTTAATCTCTTAAATGTATTAGAAAAACGAACTTAGTTTTTCTCTTTTGTTTGTTGTTTTTTTTAAGATGTTGAAAAAGTCGTCTGCTGTGATGATACTCAGAACTTGTTGAAAGTTTGACACCTTGATGAAACCGTCAACAGTAATGTTGACCCTGAGCGGTTACCTGAGCAGTCATATTTTATCCTTCCTTTTTTAGTTTTCATTTGAAATGCTTCTGAAATACATGTTCAATTGAAACCCATGTTTCAATAAATAAGTCCGTCTTTGATGAATCTTTGAATATTGAAAGATATAGAGGATCTATATAAAAGACCCTACTAATTTTGAATTGAGTCATTGACTTTCTTCTCTATAATCTAACCTCAAACCACCTAAGTTCCTTATGCTCAATAATTCTTATCCCCCTTCTTTCTAACCTATTCAATAAAAACACATAATTTGGTTCTCTTCTTGGTTAGTGTTGCTTTTGTATTACCACAAGCGGGGACTGCTGTGATGAAACTTGGATTATGTCGAAAGTTTCTATACTTGGTGAAACCGTCAACAGTAATGTTGATCCTGAGCGGTTACCTGAGCAGTCATATCTTAATCAATTTCTTCTTCTATTTTTCATTTTGCAAAGCTTGTGAATGATGTCCAATTGCAAGATATGTTTCAACAAAATACACATGGTTTCTGATGGATCCAAATGATTTTGCTGTTGAAATTCTGGTTGAGGTTCTTGCTTCACTAGTTTACCCATTAACACTTACGACCATTTTTCTGCGAGGGTCATCATTAGAAATTTATTTTTATTCCCCCCCCCCCCCTTATTTTCCCACTGAATTATTCCTCATTAAATGTAATTTTTATTATTAAATCTGGTTGCTGTGATGAAAATTCAGCTTTTGAAAGTCGTAAGGCTTGAAGATGCATCGACAGTCATGTCGATTCTGAGCGGTTACCTGAGCAACGTCACCTTCCTTGCTATTCTTTAAGTTTCATACTGTCTGTCATTCCTCTTCTCATAATCCCCCCTTCCACTGTGATATATGATATGGTTGTGGCTCGTTGAATTATGCAATGTGCTCTTATTTTTAAATCATGCAACGTATTTGGTGCATTTGTAGGTTCTAGTTTTTGAGGATAGGTGAAATATTTTCTCGTTTTCTCAAATTTGTTTGTGTGGCCTTCTTAGTGCTTCTTACATTTTAGGACTTGGAAGGGACGCTATCTGGTGAATTTTAGCTTTCGTTGTATACCTGAACTTATCGACATCCAAATGCTTCATGTATATGAGATTTTCTCGTAGCTTAGACTAAAGATATTCGCAAGCTATGGAAAATTTGAAGAAAGCTAATCATCATTACTACCATTTCGCTTTTTCATACTGTTGATTATAACTTGTCGCCTTGTCTACATGTGAGGTTTCCTTCCTATTGTTGACACAAAGATTTCCTACTTTCCAGTATGATCCTAAAGATCCCTCTTCAATTATCCTATTTGGTGCTGTTGCTCTCACTGCTCTTTGGTTGACAACCTCAATTGTTGGAGCCATCGATTCTGTTCCTTTGGTTCGTACTTCCCTCTCTATCAAGATCGTCCTTTTTGTTATTCTTTAAAATACGTTTTCCTCGTTGCTAACAGTAGTTCTGTATTGTATAATTTTTCAGGTTCCTAAGTTGATGGAATTGGTGGGTCTTGGCTATGCTCTCTGGTTCACCGCCCGTTATCTACTATTCAAGGTAATTGCTGCACTACTTTTACTATTGTTCAAGTTGCTGCCCAAGCAACCATTCCCAAAAAATGAATCAGAACTTTGTAGTTCTAACTTCAGTGAACTCATCGAGATGTTTAGCTCAGCTCATTATCGACTTGTGCATTCATCATGTATCGTTCTAACGCTTTGAACTTACATTGTATCTGCAGAAGAATAGAGATGAGTTTGCTGCTAAAATTGAAGATCTTAAGCAGAAGACTTTAGGTTCTAGAGATGATTAATTTACTTGGTGAGAACTTTTGTTTCTTCTTAGTTTTGTGCAAGAAGGAGCCGTGTCTTACAGTAGATGAGATCTATCTATTCATGCCAATGTGAATAATAATAGAAATTTGTGTATATACACATATATTTTCTTGAACTCACGATCTATGAATCACAATGAAAATAACTTTATCACTGTTTCGTAGATGTAATGTGAACAACCTATCCTAACACGAACAATGTTACATCTGAAACTTCCTCTTAGAATTTAATAATCTCTCAACTGATTCATTAAATTTCCAACTAAAAGCGTATTATAAATAACTTCATTAATACTAAGGTAAAAACATTTATTAATCTCAATTCTTTGCACTTAATGTTCATTTGACCAGTACTTTGAACTTTTTTCAAGACATTTATCATAAGATGCAAGTAAAGTATAAGTCCAAAAAGAAAACAAAATTAATATTCAAAAGGGAATCTAAATTTTTAAATCTTTCCAAATCATATAATATATAATAATTATTATTCCCTTTTTGAAATCTTTTTCTTAGTCAATAAGGTAAAGCACCGAATACTCTAATGTTATGTCCCATTCATACATTCTCTCACCTATTTGTCTACTTAAAGAAAAGAAAATAGAAATCGGTCGTGGACTCGTGGTGAGATAGATAAGATTTCTTTTCGTTAAATTAAAGGTTTTGTATATATAAATACCATATTGGGAAGCATTTTTTCTCTATAAATTGGCCTTATACTACATAAATTTCGATTAATCGAGATCACAATATAAAAATTAGATAAAAAATAAAAAAGACAAGAAAATAAAATTGAAAACTTATATTCACAAAATTCACATAAAATCACTTTTACCGAAAAGTTATGATACGTACTTTTTCATCATTTAACAACTTTAAATTTCAGATCGAAACATAATTATATTTATTGAGAAACATTTTACCTCATATGAAACTTCGTGACATATTAATATTATTAAGATAATATCGTCTTTTTTACTTATGAAATACTAAAAATAAATAAAAATGACCACTTATTTTTATTAAAAAAAATAATATTTTTCCTCGTACCATATATAACCTAAGCTTTAATTAAGTAAATTTCTTGTGTTTAACCAAAACAGCTCCACCCGCGGCAAAAAACGCGCCACTAAACGACCGGCCGTTATTATAAGCCATTGCCACGTCATACTCACGTTACTTTTCTCACGTCTCCGTTATTTTTTTTTTTTTAAAAACATATTAAAATAATTTATAACTACATTTCAAGTTTAACAGAAAAAGAAAAAAAGAGGACAAAAAGATAAACTTAACAGAAATTCAGGAAAATTCAAATGCATGATTAAACTACGATTTATCGAGCACTAGATTAATGGCAAATTACGTTATTCATTAAAATACGTGACATAATAGATGAAACTTTTTTTTTAAGCTTAGTCAAGAAGTTTCAATTTTGAGTCGCGTATAGAAATTTATTTTTAATTGACTGAGAGAGCTGTTTAGATTAATCAAACTTTAACGGGAGTCGGAAAAAAAAGACACAATTAAATGCTTTATACAGCTAGAGTGAGAAAGGTTTTTATTTTTCTTCATCTTCTAAACTTGCTGTCACTTTTACCCTACAATAACAACAACAAGTGCATTACAATCTGTCTATGACTATGTATAATATACATAACATGCATATAAAGAAAAAAGTTGCAATCTTTTCCTTATTTTAGTCATTTTTTTCTGTCCTTTTCTTTGGCTTTTTTTAATATTATTTTTTTTGCTTTGCTTAATTTCACTACTTGTGTTATTTATGGGAAGTGAACTTTGTGTGTACACTGAATCTTTGGTTTCTTAAGCAAAGATTGTCAAATTGGGGAAATTGGGTTTTGCTTTTCTTGATTGAGTTGCTGAGGGGCAAAAAAAAGCAATCTTTAGAACTGTGATTTGCTCATCTTTCTCATTAAAGAACTGGGCTTTCTTGCTCTTTGTAAGTTCTGGATACTTCTATTGATTATTTCTGCAAACCCCATTTAGTTCCCCCCCCCCCCCATTGTTTATGTGTATTAGATATGTTAGTGTAAAAGCCCTAATTAGATTGACTGAAATCCTTTAGCTCTGGATGATTAATGTCATATGTTAAGATTGTGTTAGTTGCTGTGTTTTCTTCACTATCATTATTACTTGTTTGATTTGTTGCGCTTGAGTTGAGGATCTTTCGGAAACAACCTCTCTACCTTGACGCGGTAGGGTAAGATTTGTGTACACTCGATCCTCTTTAAACCTTGCTTAGGGGATTTCACCGGGTTCGTTGTTGTTGTTGGCTATTGTTTGTGACATTAGGAAAAAGATTGTCTTTTTAGTTGTTTTGTGCTTGTTGTGTTTGAGTATTTGTGATAAGTTGGACAACCCCTTGATTTGAATTAGGTAGGAGATAGTGTGAAGAAGAGATTACTTACAATGTATACTCAGAGAATGCAATCTGATCCTGTTCTTGGCCGTAAAAACAATGGATTGGGCTTTGGAGTAATATGTGGTTCTAACTTTCAAGCTGGGCATTTGCCATCTGGTGTTATCCCTGGTTCAAGAACTATACCTGTGAGTGGTAGTGGTGGATATGATAATGGGTGGGGGTCGGATATGGATATTGGTTTTGATTCGGATGATGAGGTTTATGATGGATATCACTCTGTTGAAACTTCACCTCAAGATGATAAGTTTCCGAATGTTGGTACTTCAAAGAGAAAGCATTCTTTCAATGAACATATTGGTAATACCACCAATGATGAACTTCACCAGAAAATGTGGAACCATTCTGAGAGTGTGTATCCTGGTAATGAAGTTAAAAGTTCATCAAATTCTGTTGCAAGTTCTAAAACTACAACTTTGTTGCCATCTTCGATTGGTAACAAGAGTGCCTCATCCTGGGAGTCGAATGTGAAGTCTTCTAGACAGGTTTGCTGTTCTACTTTTGCTTGTTGGGTAAACAATGTAGGACTAGTGAGTGAAATCTTAGGATAGTTTCATACTTGTTGAGTGATATAAAGAACTGAAGTAATGTGAAATCTTCTAGAGATCACTTTAATGCTCAAACTGATGAATAAGACTTGAGATTTATGAATTTCCTATTTTGGGGCAAAATTATGTTAGGCCTGCTTATGTTTCTGCTTCTGCTTCTCATGAAATACAATACTTGTAGTTTATTAGTATACCCATTGCATGTCTATTAGTGAGACTCTAAAGTAACCAGGAAAGTGGAGATAAAATCTAGCAAGGTCGTTATGCTAATGTTTCAGAGGAATCCCTTTTATTCCTGAACTTATTTCTTTTGATGAGTAGGCTATTTTTATTGCCACTACTTAGGAGACCAAATATCTTGTGTTTCTATTTGACATAAGTTGCCAAGAAGGTGGACTGAAGCTTAAGCTTTTAAAATCATTTGCTAGAAGTTCAAGCCTTAAAAACCATGGTCAATACTGAATGAGGTACTTGAAGTGAATCAGGAATATCAGTAATTGTTTGAAACCAGAGGGTCTAGATGAAAAAAACTGGTGGGTATAGATGCAGCAGCTAGTTAGCATCTAAGAGGTGTCACTTATTAATGAACAATAACTTCTGGAGATTTTTCTTGAATCTAAGTAGTTTGTGTTGATAGTTAAGTGATTGAGATTCTTATTGGTTTGTTGTTTGTGGTATAAGCTCTGATCATCTGTGCCTCCATAACTGTGTCTGTGTGACTGTTATAAGGAGGATTAAGCACTCTGTTCTTCTTCTTGTATTAATCTTATATATGCGAATATGACAATATTTTACTCTTATTCTGTCTACTGATTCTGTTATGCGTTGAAGCAGATTCTGAAGTTGTCCAAAAGTGATATTCCCAGTGCACCCCCATTAGGTGGTTCATTACAGGAATGCGATCAAGTTGCTGTGCAGCGTAAAACTTTTGTGGCAGATGATATCCCCTTCCCAGAAATATCAGGTTGTTCTGTAGCAATGGATGAAGCTAAAACATATAAAACTGCAACCGCAGGTTCTACAAAAGATGGACAATCTGGTCCATCTGGAAGGTATACATCATGATATATTTCTTTTTCTGAATAATCCTCGAAGAATTTGAAGGCAAAAAAGTGACACCCTTGTTATCATTCTCAGGGCTGGTGGTGTACCTTCTAATTCTTCATCTGCCCTCTTTCCAACATATCATGCTAGGTATTTCACTCAGAGTGGTCTAAATTGTTCTAAAGTTTCTGTTAAAATTATTCAATTATTTATTATCTTCTTGTTTAATTTGAGTTGGATACAGTGGACGAGGTAGTTGGCAAGGTTTCGTTGCTTATGAGGCATGTATTCGACTAT